ACTAACTAAACTGGAACATCGCTGTGGGCAAGTGTGACATTGCAAAATATGTGACTAGCCAACTAAAATAAAACGAGTGCTTTAGAAAGATAACTAGGCTGGTAGGCATTTGGGATCTGAAAAGAGGCTAGAAGGACAAAGAAATGTGAGAAAGCAGGGCAAGAGGGAGAAATCTCCTCACACATTGAGTCTGATCTCCCCAGACTGTATTGGTGTTGGTCACACAGTCAGTTTGAGTCTGCTGTGGCTTTTGTACTCTATGTAACTTGATCTGAGGATATGGCTTGTGAGGTGCTGTGGCATGAAAGGGTCAGTACATGTGGCTCAGCTTATAATTTATTTCACCTGTTTTGTTGCTTTTGCAGTTATGGCTAGGAGTACATATCATGGCCCCGGTGACCTCTCAAAGTGCTTAAGCTTTTCACTCTTCTGGCCTATTATGATGGCATCCACTGGCATGCTTCTAATGTTATATTTTATGGACTGTGTTTTGGCTTTAGGGACAGCCCTGAGTAAGCAGTGGTGTATATGCTGCACCATCCTTGGAGTGGATCCAGGTAGCATTAACTCATAGACACACTTCTGAGCTACAGTTCCTCCCTTGCTTCCCCTTCACTCCAGGGGATAGTAATGTACTGTCAGCTTATATCCTAGCCAATGACAAGAACAGGGAAACAGCACCAAGCTTCTATCTGTTCCCCACTTCTACTCATCCACAGAGGGAGGGAGTAAGTAGCTCCTTATGCCTATGCCCCAGACCATGCTGTAATCCATGTGTCTACCCTGTCTAGTCCTCCATATCAGCAACTGTACAGAACACACCTCTTAAAGTATTCTTCTTATCTATATATAAGAAGATTGTAACTGGATTTTTAAGAAGTAAGTTACTTATATTCCTTGGCATTACAGTGATAGGTAGGAGAGGTGAAATTTACTGTAATATTTATTATGTAATTGCTGCATGAAATAGTTTTCAAGCATTCCACGGTGCTCTCCTCCATGCCTCGTGGACTGCAGTCTGCATCGGGGATGAGAGGAATTTCACTAGTGACATGCTGCCCTTCCATGAGGGATATGTGGGTGTAAGGATGGGGATCTGTTTCCTCCAGGTCCTTCCTCTAAAACTATGAAAAAAAAAAAAAAACACAGCAAAGAAGTTAGTATGACCTGAGGCTATTTGTGTTGCACTCTGTGTTGTGGTCATCCCCATCCACCGTAACCTGTGTTCTGGAAGTAATGCTGTCATGGGAATCCCATAGAAGCACGCTCTCGTTGCAGTCTGAGGGTTAGCAGGACTTGTGAGGCTATAAATAAGAACAGAGTAAAGGGGAATCATCTGCCTCGATTCTCTTTGCCTATTCAGGGTATCCCAGGACCTGTGAGATCAGGGGCTGAGACAGCTTGACAGCTCTTTCAGGAGAGCAAATCCTGTCTTGAAGGAGAATTCCTAATAAATAATGTGAGCTGAAACCAAGGATTTTCTTTTCCTCTCTTTGTTGTTCTTGCAGGGAGAAGCATAAGCGACCCAGATGTTAGTGGTGCCCAGCCCACTGTCACTTAAGTCATTGAAAAGGTCACAGTGCTGCCATTTTAAAAATATCCGTCTCCCACAGGCCAAACACCTTTCAGTACTGTTGGAAGTTTTCCTTTCACTTGGTACATATACCTCCTGGCAGGTTAAAATTTGCCATTGTGGTATTAAAGAAGAGTCGAGGGGAAGAAGATTTCTAAGTTCTGTTGTGCCTGCCTCCCAGCATGGCTTTCAAAAGCACTGTATGTGGTAGAAGATTTTAAAAGGATAATCTCAGGAGTAATGATGCCTAAAAATCCATTCCAGTCAGAGCAAGCCCACCAACAAGAGGGGCAAAGAGGGCAGTTGCTCTGGGGCCCAGTGATTCAAAGGGGCCTGGGGCTTCTGGCCATCACAGCTGCTATCGTGGCAGCGGCAGCAGCAGCAGCCAGCAGCCCTGGGCCCTTAGCCTTTGTTTGGCATGGCTCTTAGGGTTGAGAGGGACACATCGCACTCCAAACAGTGTAGAGGACTGGCTGCCCTCACCCCTTCTGCCTGAAGCTCCATCCCTTTCAGGGGCGTGGAGCCACACACACACCAACCTAGCCTAGGGTCCACAAAGACTGTTGATACTCATAAGTCAGAGGCATCAAAGTGGTTGGTTTGGGGAGGAAGGAGCATATGAACACATTCACTGAACAAAAATTCCCACATGCTCACACACAGACTACACATGCAAGTGTTCAGTCAATGGCCATTTTGAAAATAGGTGTACATTTTGCATGTCAGTAGGTGCAGCTTTATTTTTTCCTCAGATAATTTTTTAAGGGAGTGGGGGATTTTGAATATCTCTTTTTTCCCTCTTCCCTCTGCCTTTAAAAAAAATTCTCTCTATTTTGCATATTTTACATGGGGTTAAGAACAACCTCCTTTCTGCCAAGTTATGTACTTGTTCTATCTTTTTGCTAGTTAATTCTGATCTGATCAATAGACAGACACAGATTCTCCTGACCATTATGTTCCCCCCAAAATGTAGACAGTGTTTGTTTATTAATGTCCACCTGGTATTTCAATTTCAGTCTCATGTGATACAGGGATGAATGCAGAAAGTTGCCTAGTTTTGTGTTTTGACCAAGAATCTGTAGACACATCTGAGTACTATTTTCATCTTTGCCAATGACTTTTTGAGTTATTTGGGTGAGCCATTTAACCACTCGATGGTTCAGTTTCCTCACACACAAAATGATAATAACTTTGAAAAGCACTGTGATATTTCTGAAACTAGCTCTTCATGGTTACTTATACCATAATTATTATTCTGCCTATCCTACAGTATTCTTTTTCATGTTTAATGTCATATGGAAATGATTAATCAAGCTTTCTGGAATAATGTTTTAGTTTGAGTTATGGATAACTTTCCTAAAAAAATAAAACCTTTAAATGTTATTTGAGATTAAGAACTTAAAACTTTGTCTCATGTTTCAAAGATTTTTAAATGACCTTCAGACTGAGCTGGTCTGTGGTTTGAATATGCTGATGAAATCACTTTGGTTGCAAGATGTTTTGTTTGGTGATGAAACTCAAAACTACCAACCATGCTGAACAGATGATGTTTTTCTGTCCAATACACTAATATTCATCAATGCAGTGTGCATGAGGAAAGTTCAGGTATGAATATAGATGAACATTAGGATTTTCCAGGACCTCATATGATTATCTCCATTAGGTCTTGATTTTTTTAGAAGCATAATGGCCTTTATTTTCATTGATATTGGAAGGAAAAAGGAATATTTCATCATTCGGTGCTATAGATGCTGAAGCATTTGCCTTCTTATCTCTAGCCCTTTTATCAATTTAGAAATTCTCATTTGGGATACATATTTTCTCAGTCTTCCTCACACTGAGTAGTATCTTACTCAGTAAGTGAGGCTAACAAAACTCTCAGCCTCAGAGTTAGTTAGAATATCAAAATCTGACCCTGAATGTTTTGAGTTTATAGGAAGATTTAGGAAACAAATTTTCTTTACCAGTATTCTTGGCATTGTTATTTTAAATAGTCTTAGATGAAGATATGCAAGATTTTCTTCATGGTGTGAAGTACTGAATCTTACAAGTTCTGTGATCTTGTATTCAAAATAAGAGAATTTGCTTTTACAAACTGTTACTTAAAGTATTAGGTTTATAAGAAGAGAAGCAACCAGAGAAGGTTCACACTTAATAAAAATATTCCACATTTCATTTTTACTTTGATCTTGTGTCATTTACCATTATAAATCTCATAAATGTGAACTAAGATGGACTTTATAATCTTGTAAAATACCATAACTTTGGGATTACAGCATTTATTTGAACATTTATTCTTTAAAACCTACCTATAGTTTAAACAAAACTAGTAATTCCAACTTCTTGGAATATTTGACCTATGACCATCCGGAGGAATTCAATAGTCTACTCATTTACTGTATGTATGAAAGTTTGTAAAGGATACCCAGAGCACTGGATGAATAACCTCCTAGGGTATGTCTACACTACCCCGCTAGTTCGAACTAGCGGGGTAGTGTAGACATACCCCTATTATAGTTTGTAAAAATTGAAAAAGTTGATGAGGGATATCTTTATAGTTACATGTGTGTACAGTAATCAGTGAGCCTCAATTCTTAGTTGAAGCCTTCTTGCTATTACTGCAATACGAATAAATAGCATTGTATGGGAACCAGAGTTTTCCTTTCATGGGAAATGCTATGATTACAAATTGGTTTCCATTCTGAAACACAATCAATGTTGAATTTTGAAATTTGTTATGAAATGGGATTATATCCAGTTGGGGTTAATCAAAATGTTTCATTTTAACTTTTTTCACTTTAATTTTGACTCTATTTTTATCTTTTTTCTGGAAATGATAAGATGGGCTGCTTTCACTTTACTGAAATACTTTGTTTTAATTGAAAAAAAAACAAAAAACAAAGTTTCATCAAAATCAACATGGCCCCCAGGAAAGCTTTGATTTAGATTAAACAATATTTTCTAGCAAAAAAAAGGTCCATTTGAACATTTTGGACCATCTCTACAAATAATAAATGATATACATTTTGTTAATATGTTGCATTTTAATTTGTAAATTACAAAATGCCAGCTTTGGCCAATCCTCTGTGTGTGTGTGTGTGTGTGTGCGCGCGCGCGCACGCGGCACATGTGCTTGCTCAGTAGTAATTTAGTACACAAGCAGTCCCACTGATTCCAGTGCGGCTTCAGAGATATCAAGGTATTGTTAAACATGTTTAGGGAAGCAAACTCTGTTCCAAAGTGAATTTATTGCTGGGCTAAGGCAAATCATGGACACCTGAGTATTCTGGGGTAAATCCTGGCCCCACTGAAGTCAATGGGAGCTTTGCCATTTAACGAGGCCATTATTTTATTCAGTGTCTTTTCTACTGACCCAAAATTTAAATGTAAATGTTGTGGGATTATTCCAACTGGTTTCTTTTTTCAGTATATCGGAGGAGGGAAGCAGCCAACTACACCAAATGGTGAGTACAACTGACTTGCAGTTCATTTTGCCACAGCGAACTTGCGTTAAAATCAGCATAATTATTTAATCAATTTTTTCCCCCATTGAAATGTATACACATCCTAACTTTGTTAGGACTTGTACTCCTAAATCCACTTGTACTCCACTTTTGGATTGGAAAAAAATATACTTAATCTAATCACATTTCTCATTTTTGTCAAAACATTTCGGAAGTTAAAAAAATAATTTATTGGCAAGTTGTTTTGAATTTCTAGCTGGCGTCAGGAATATGAACCATAGAAGAATGAGCCAAGACTATCTTCGCATGTTCACAAAGGCAATTTTACTTTGCTCTGGCAGGGTAAAGAGGTCTTTAACAGGGGTGTAAATGTAACATACTTGCATTTTTTGGCCCCTTTGAAAACTCAGTGTTTTCCCAGGTGTTCCATGTTATTTCATTTAAGCCTATGAATAGCCTAATTTCTGTTTTGAAGCCACCTCATATTGATCACTGTTGGAAGACAAGATACTGGACCTTTGGTCTGTGTAGTATGGCCATTCTAGTGTTCTTATGTACAGCCACCATGTTATTAATTGTATAGTGTTTGACTATTCTCTTGTGAAAAATCTATTCAGGAAAAAGAATTTTGTCAACTGATTCTACTTCACAGTATTTGACACTAAACAAAGTTATCTCAATTTTTCTTTTTAACTATGTGCTGTACTTAAGGTAGACTGTATTTGAACTAATGAGCAGATCTGTTTTGAATTTTATTCTATAGCTGTTCTACAGAGGCTTTGTCCATTGAGTTTTGTCACAGATATAGCTAGAAATATATATAGCCCTAATAATGTTCATCATGTAATCCAGATGGGAGTGCCACAATGTGATTCAGTTGTGCAACTGATCGTGAATGTACTTTACAGCCATCTGCAAGGAAGAAACAAGAACCTGAAGTCCATGGATTGTGTTTAGGACGATAGGCTATGACATTGCCTACACGATCATTTTTTGATCTTTTGGATACAAATACACAAATAATTTTGTACAGCATCAGCTATATTGTTGGTCAATATTGTTCAGACAAATTCACTAAAAAGTGCATTTTTGGTCCAAATTTATAAATATGACATTAGCTTGCCAAAGTATGGTCAGTCCCCCCTCCCCCATTATTATTATGCAAATCAAGTCACTCCAAAATCATTTAGACTGTTTTTAAAATCTTAGCTATCTCACATATATTTCATAATATTTACCATTATTGAGAATGCAAAGGCACTATTTGGGGAACCCGTTGCTCACCCCATATCTATCACTAAGTTGTTCTCTGAGAACCGTGGGAACACCCTGTTTTCTGGTTAGATGATAGATCTTGTCTGTGATGTACATTCAGTAGCTGTTTTTCAGCAGAGACAATCTAGTGCAAGGACAGGTGGTTCAGAGAAACAAATTATTTTACATTTTCTCTTTGGCCTTTTTCAAATAGCCCTACTTTTTCTGAATCTGGCTTTAAGGCTATTGTCAGCTTTAATGCAATTATGCTCGTTTTTATTCAAACCCCAGTGAACCAGACCTTGGCAGCAAGACCTAATAAGCCTCCTATATGTTTTAAAAGGCAAACCACATTGTGTTGGTCCATGGGAAAGTGTCTTCCTTTAAAATCTCTTAATCTCTTTCTCCTCCTCTTTTGTGTATGCTACTATAGCTGTTACCATATATGGTATATTCTGACAAGTAGTTAATATGTGTCACATACCTAGTAAGACAAGTACTTTTATTTGATACATGAGTATAATATACCAAAAAGGTATTTCTGATTATAGTAAAGATATTATTGATCTCATGGTTTGCTTAATTATACTGTAAATAGAAAGTGTCTCAGTGATTTTCAATTGAGTTATAAAGAGCTTTTTGATGAAGGGAGATATGACTGCTCACTATAAATACATCAGAGGAACAAACACCAGAACGAGGGGAAAGAGGAGGAGTTTGTTGAGTCAGTGCTGACACAAGGACAAATGTGCCATCTATAAATTTAGGCGTGAAATTAGAGGAAGGTTTCTAATCATTCTAGTGACATTCTAGAACAACTTTGCAAGGGGAGTAGTGCGTGTAAAACCCCTACTTTGTTTCAAGACTGAACTTAATAAATTTAGGAAGAAGAGGTTATGAGATTTCCTACAATGGCAAATGGCCTATTGTTGAATACTATTAGCAAATATCTCCAGTGGCTGGGGAGTGCTCTGAGTAACTACAGAGAATTTCTTCCCAGGGATCTGCTGTGGGCATCACCCATGTGCTCAGGATCTAACTGAATACCATATCTGGGGAAGTCAGGAAGGAATTTTCACCCAGGAATTTTTATGTTGGCTGAGACCCTGTTTTATTGTATGTATGTATGTATGTATGTATGTATTTGCCTTCCTCTGTTGCTGCGAACAAGAGCAAATAGTGGATTCTCTATAACCTGAAATCTTTAAATAATGATTTTATGATTTGAAGGCTTCCGTAACTCAGCCAGAGGTTATGGTCCTATTACAGGAAAGGGTGATGTTGTGGTACCTGCAGTCAGACTAGATGATCATGATGGTACTCTTTGGTCTTAAGTCCGGGACACTCCGCACAATTCATACACTCTGACAAGAAGCAATGGGCTTTAACTGCAGCAAGGAAGGTTTAGATTGGACATTAGGAAAAACTTCCTAACTGTCAGGGTGGTTAAACACTGGAATAAATTGCCTAGGGAGGTTGTGGAATCTCCATCTCTGGAGATATTTAAGAGCAGGTTAGACAGACATCAATCAGGGATGATCTAGACGGTGCTGAGTCCTGCCGTGAGGGCAGGGGACTGGACTTGATGACCTCTCAAGCTCCCTTCCAATCCTAGGATTCTATGAATTAAGTAGGCTCTTAGCACCTTTCAGGATTTGGCTCATAATGTTCAGACCTTTCATAATAAACATTTAAAAAAATTCCTGAAGATAAACTCCAACTCCATGTTAATACACCTAAATAAGTGGCCTGATTTTCAAGGTTGCCAGGCACTCAGAAGCTCTACTGAAGAAAGTTGGAGCTCTGGTTGCTTGGAAGTTTTGGCCATCAGTTTTACCCCAACTTATCCATATGCAGATATGGATACATAATTGTAGACACCTATTTTGAATCATCTTAAATGTATTCTACTCCAAGATATATTGATTTAAAATAGAATTATTATTCTAGAGCATCTGCAGATACTATTCCTGCCCCAAATGCTCTTTTATATTTTTACTTCTTGCAAAGGTTGTGTTCTTATCATTTCTACCTCCTGTGAAATAGAATCTCAGTCCTGTATTAATGGTAATAGTTTCTCTTTTCCCATGTGGAGTATATTACAAACACAAAATATTACATTTATGACCTTGAAGAGGTTGGAGGAAGCAAACAGAATTATTGGTTGGCAAGGTAATATCTGAACAAGTTTGCCAAGAGTAGAATTAAATAAATACGTCAATTATGTATAGTATAACATCATTGTGTTAGTAGGCTATTCATAAATAGCAGAAATTTTCCCAAAGTAGTATCACACAATGATAGAGTGGAGACTGTAGAAACAGCATTTGTATAGTATCTGCTGTTAGCAATGTTCAGTTCTGCCAAAGACATCAGTCTTGTGTAATTATCATGACCTCTTTCAAGGTACAGTGAAATCTTCTACAAGCTTGATTTTTGTTTCTGTAGCACTGAATACCCTGCAGCTCTCATTGACATAAGTCACATTTGTGGCTGCTAAGCAACTCTGAAAATAAGACCTAAAAGAATGAAGTTCACACATGGTACAGAGAGCCAGAATATAGCCCTACACTTAATAAGCTCCAAGCTCTGCTTGTGCTTGGTTGGCTAAGTAGCCACATAGGGTACATGTACATCCTCTGTAATTCATAGGTCTGGTCTCCTATGAAGGGATGGTCATCTCCTTGTGGTGAAAAATAAGTGTCATGTCATATGGTACAAGGTTACAAGACATTTTAACCAGAAAGAAGAGATGGATGAGGTTTTTTGATGTTGCTTTTTGTTGTATTTTTTAAACAACCAACAAAACTGTTAAAATCATAACCCTTTGTTATGGGCATGGAGAATTTCAATTAACATCTACTGTAAAAATAATACAGCAGGGCACAGATTGTCTGACAACTTCCTGGAATGCATTGGATGCAACTGTTTGTTAAAAAAGGTGGATAAAATGCTGAGGGGAGATATTGTTTTAAATTTGATTCTAAGAAACTGGGAGGAACCAGTTGAGAATTTGAAGTTGGAAACCAGATTGGGTGAAAGTGATCATGATTCTAAGGAATGGTATATGGGAAAACAGCAGAATAAAGACAATGGACTTCAAGATGGTAGACTTTAGCAAACACAGAGAAGTGTTGGGTAAGCTCCTATGGGAAGCAAGTCAAAGGGAAAAAAATTCAGAGTGGTTAGCAGTTCTGTAAAGAGCTATTTTTAAGGCAGAAGAGCAAACTTTCCTAATACATAATAAAGATCAGAAGTATGATGACAGACCACCCAGGAGATATTCAATAATCTGAAGTTCAAAAATGAATTATACAAAAAGTGGAAACTAGGTCTAATTATGAAAGATATATATAGATAAACATAACCATGTAAGGACAGACCTAGAAAGGCTAAGGCACAAAATGAGATTATACTGAGTATGGACATAAAGGGTAACAAGAAAATATTTAACAAATATATTATAAGCAAGAGGAGCGACAGAGTAGGCCAATTAGTCAATGAGGAGGGAAAGACAATCACAGAAAAACAGCAATGGGCAAATGATTACATTCCTTTTTGGCTTGTTTTAATGAAAAAGATTAGCAGTAATTTGATAGCTAACCTAGTGAATGTCAGTGTAAATGGGGTAGGATCTGAGGTTAAAATATGAAAAGAACAATTTAAGAAAATATCTTCAAATCTACAGGGCCTGATGAAACTGGCTGACGAGATCTCTGAAGCATTGATGATTATCTTTGAGAACTTGTGAAGACAAGAAAGATCCCAGAGGACAGAGGAAAAAGGCAAACACAGTATCTATCTATAACAAGGGGAATGAGAATAACTCAGGGAATTGTACACCAGCATCTGGAAAGATAATGAAGTAAATAATCAATCAGTTTGTGATTACATAGAAAATAATAAGGTGATAAGTAACAGTCAGCATGGATTTGTCAAGAACAAATCATATCAAACCAATTTCCTTTGACAGATTAACACTCCTGTAGAAGGGTAGCAGATGTGATATATCTTGTTTAGTAAGGCTTTTGATACTGTCACACATGACCTTCTCATAAAGCAGCTAGGGAAATGTAGCCTAGGAAAACGTACAGAAAGGGTGAGTACATGACTGAGTTGAATAACCTTAGTGAGACAGTAGTTATCAGTGGTTCTAATTAAACTGAAAGGGAATACTTAGTGAAGTCCTACAGGTCCAAGGTTAGTATTCAATATTTTCATAGGTGATTCAGATACTGTCATAGAGCATACATTCATCAAGCTTGTGGGCAATACCAAGCTGGGAAAGATTGCATTCACTTTGGAGGACAGAATTAAATTCAAAATGATCTTGACAAACTGGAGAAACTGTTTGAAATAAAAAGAATGAAATTTCAAAAGAAGAAATGCACAATACCTACACTTAAGAAGGTTGCACAAATGCAAAATAGGAAAAGATTGCCTAGGAAGGAGTAAGGCAGAAAAGAATCTGGGGGTTATAGTTTGCCATAAGCTAAATACAAGTCAACAATGCAATATCATTACCACAAAAGTGAACATCATTCTTAGAAGTATTAGCAGGAGTATGGTAAGCATGACAGGAGAAGTAATTCAAGACTAAAAAGATGTCAGTTGGAGTCCAGTTCTGAGCCCCACACTTTGAGAAAGATGTGGACAAATTGAAGTAAGTCCAGAGGAGAGCAACAAAGATTAAAGATCAAGAAAACATGTCCTATGAGAAAATATTAAAAGAACTGTGTTTGCTTAGTCAGTGGAAGAAAAGACCGGGGAAGGAAGGGAAATGGTAACAGTCTTCAAGTATGTGGTTACAAAGAGGAGGTTCTGTTTATTCCCTGAGGACTAGACAAGAAGTAATGGTCATAAATTGCAGGTTAAACATTAGGAAAAACTTCCTAACTATAAGGATAGTTATGCACTGGAACAAATAACCTAAAGAAGTTGTGGAATCTTTGCCATCATCAGTTTTTAAGACCAAATTGGCCAAACTAGGCCTGCCAAGGGGGCGGAGGTGGAGGAGAAGGAGGGGAAAGAGCAAAAAGGGCTCCCAGCAACCAGAGCCACAGGCCCTTTAAATTGCCATCAGAGCATCGCTCCACATGGCCCTGAGGCCTGGGGAGAGAGCACAGTCATCTGGGTGACACTCAGAACTGGCTGGTGGGCCCTGTCCTCCTGTCTGAGGCCCTGGCCCTTCCCGGAGCAAAGAGCTGTCCCCCCCCCCCCCTGTGCTGGGGGGGGGGGGGGGAGGGGCGAGGAAGTTGTCATCTCTCCTGTACTTTGTCCTGCCTCAGAGTAAGGACTTAACTAGATGACCTTTTGACATCCTTCTAATCCTACATATCTGAAGGGCCACATATCAAAGGGATGGATTGTGGCTACTGTTCTAGCGGCAATTCTGTTGCTTCTGTTACAGTTCTCACTGAGGAAAGCATTCATTTCAATATTTTATTCACTAAGCAGAAATTCACTTTAACCTATGTGCTGGAGTTGCAGTTATAGAAGACTTGGGTCAGAGGAAGTGTATTTCATTTCCCCCACCCTTTGTACTTCACCTCTACAGAGCCCAAACATTCAGGTTTTTCTGTTCATGAAGTGAATTTCTGCTTAGTGAATTAAATATTGAAATGAATGCTTCTCTCAGTGAGAACTGTAACAGAAGCTGCAGAATTGCCGCTAGATTATTACAAAATCAAAGAATATTTTATAAATTCTCCATTATTCAATAAATTGTTTTAGAGCCCCATTAACTCCGATGATAACCATTTTGATGAGCCAGGATATTACACATCAACTGCTGAGCAGTGAAAAGTCAGTTAAAACTACTTTTCTTAAGACAGATGCCCCTTCACGCTGTTAAAATGACTTAAGCATTAAGGTCATATCTGCTGGATGTAAATTATCTTCTGTCTTAGTTTTCTTACAGCACTATGCTCTGGTCCTGTGTCTATGTGGATCATAGAAATTGCTTTTTTTTTTAAAGCAGTTAAATAAATAAAATGCATAGATTTCTGATCCAGTCAGTACTTGTCAGTCAATGTGAAATTATTCACTAATTGCAAGTTGGATCAAGCTGAGAATGAATTAACTTAGATGACAATACATTTAATTTAAATGTTTCTTATACTATCACAACACTTGTCCTTAAAATTTTAATATTTACTGCAATGCTTACACATAGATTTATGTGTAAAAACTACTTAAGTAGTTACGGGCTTGATTCTGTATGTTAGCTGAATCCCATTACTAAATTTTCCTTTATGCTATAATTCTTTTTGAAATGTCTTAATACTAAAGACAGACTTATGAGAAAATGTGAACTACAGTATCTACAAATATGAAATTGTTTGGAGGATTTTGGAGATTTTTGTCTACATGACCTTCCTCTGAACTTGTACATACTCTAAAACATAATGGTATGCTACACATCTGAAATAGGCACTTTTAGGGGAGATATCACATATTCAACATATTGATGTTCAGCCAAGTAGCCTACATACAATTATATCCTGGCAAATTGGCATGCATATATATATTGCTTCAATATGAAAGCTCTGACCCACCCACATCTATTCTTAAATTCAGCAAACAAGGATTAGCCATGTGTTTTTTAAAAAAGTAAAAACTTCTAAAAATCTTCAGAAACAGCTTTATAGCATCAAGAAGGTGAGATCATTAGCTTCCCAATGAGACGACCCAACACTTGCTTATTCTAGATCTGGAGGAGCTTAAGAGAACAGTCATGGCATTTTATGAAACCACAAAGCTACTAAAAGTGATTTTTAGACTTTTGATGCATCTCTGAGCCCTGACCTGTTGGATTAGGGCAGTTTGGCATAGCGGCATTGATTTCAATCTGTTTTCTGTAAAAATATGGACTATACAGAACATAGGCTTGTGTGGTTTGGTATGAGGGCTTTCTCTGCACTTTTTATGGGATGATCTGCCACAGTCCCTGGGGGCTTTACTACTCCTGAGTAACGTGGCCATTCCAATGTCATGCTAATAAAACAGATTGCAAAGGTGGCTTCTGGGGCAAGATTCATTGTTTAGTTCCATATTTCTATAGAACCTAACACAGTAGGGTTGAGATCCTGGACTAGGGGTTATAGGCAATACGATTATACAAATATGTAACAAATAAAAAATGTACAAGTGCTTAAATTTCTAGTGTTTGTTGTTTTCTTTCGGAATCTTAGAACAATATGTTCACACATTTTCAAGAGCAGATATACGTTAGCTTAGATCAGTGGTTTCCAAACTTTTCTAGCATACAGACCCCTTTTCAGTCAAGTAAAATTTCATGGACTCCCACCTCCCTGGGGGAGAAAAAGAAAAGAAAAGTACGGATCGGGCCCGTTTTAATCTTTCCTATGACCCCCCTGCAGTACCATCACAGACCACCAGAGATCTGCAGACCACTGGCTTAGATGAACAGTGAGCAGCCTATGCTTACTTACGCAAAGTTCAGAGTCTCTTTGCTGGATAGACTCATCCTATGGCACATAGCACTGATTTAGGCTAACGTGACAAGTCAGCTGCCATTCATGCAGCTTCTTGGTATCTGATTAGTTGAGCTATACATTCTTTCATAGACTTTTATTTGATTTCTCTGCCAAGTAACCATCAAAACAATTCCAGTGTGAGGTTTTTGGAGCAGGTGTTAGCTATAGAAAGCTACTTAGTATTAACCGTACCTGTCTCACCCCTAGAAACTTTGTAGACACCTTTTCTTTTCCTGATTATTGTTCTTTCACAAAAGGCCTGATTTAAAGTATCTGTCAAATCAAGTCTCTGGTTTCCCTCTTCTTCCCCCATTAATTGGGCATCTATTGTGTTTGGGTGGGAAGAAAGGAGGCTCTTGGCTAATATAGCAATACCGCTGGGAAAATAACATTAATATGGATAAAAGGATTTCCTAGGGGTATAAATACCTGCACACGACCTCCCTGTTCTCTGGAGCCCTTGTTTATGTATATATGCAAGTGAAGAGAACTGGAATAGAGTCTGAGCTGCTGTTAATCAATAAGGATACATTTTGTTAGAAAATAGAGGAAGGGACGGTGCTCCTTTGTCTTTTCTCCGTTTGTGGGAATGAGTTGCCAGGCATTTACTTCAGCTGACGCCTTCATCCCCTTGAATTCTGATTCTTCTCCTGCTCTGCCTTTGATAATGCATCATAGCGCTGCAGAATGCTTGCCCGTCTCCAACCATTCTACCAATGTCGTGTCTACAGGTACTTTTTTACTAAAACAATTACACTCTCATTAATTTTCTTTTAAAATGCTTTTTCCTCTATTCTGTAAATGTTGCCAAATTTAACACTGGGTTAGGGAAACCCAGGAGGAGCTATTTCATATCAGCTTTGCTCTGGTTGGGACTACCTTTAAAGCAAGAAAGTTTTCACAAGGCTATATACAAATGAATACATCAAGAGTGACCAACATGTCTGCATTTTAGCCAAGTTTGTAGCTATCTCTATATTTTGTTGGGTGAGGTATTTTACCAGCACGCTGACTTACTGGCTACAGATACTATTAAACATTTGTAACGCCAAATAGACTTAAGTGATACACATCTCTGAAAATAAACCAAATTATATTTTGCTTAAGAAATTGTAGTTTATAAATATCTTAAATATATGATTTCAAATGAGTGAATAGTTAAAATGGAGCAGATGCCAATGGCATTACATGATGGAAATACCCATTAAGCGGAGAACTGATATTTTATTACACATAATAAATACTGAGTAAAGACCCTAGAATTTGGGTGAGATGTTCAAAAGCACCAAAGTAACTTAAGGGTACAGGACCCATTCTTCTGTGTTTTGGAATATGGTACCTTTATCTGACCAGGAACTTTACTATGATTATTATTACACTGTATATAATACATGAGTATGTTCTGGGGTAGATTTTACTTTTAAAAGTATCTTAGCAATGTGAGACTTCACTCCAGTATCCGCTATTAAAATATTGCCAGGAAGTTGGAAATGCCAGTCTTTTATGTCTGAGAAACATGGAATGTGTGGATTAGCAAGCAGCAGCTTGGCAAAATGTAACAATAAACAAGTGATTCAAATTAAGTCTTTAACTTGGACTTTGTCTAAGAACAAAAGTTGTACAGGTTCAACATATATAATCTGGGACTCTCTGATCTGGCAGATACCACAGACTGTTGATGGACCAAGGAGCCCCAGTGCATGGCCGATGGCTTCAGGGGAGCCGCAGTCAGGGAATCCTCATCCTGCAGGGATTCCTGGTCGCGCTGACTGCAGTTGGGCCAGCAGTAGCTGGGGGTCCCCAAAGCTGGAGATCCCTGGCTGCGCTGGCAGCATCAGGGTCTGAGGCAGCTGTGGATTCCCGGGACCAGGACTCCCTGCCTGGGCTGGCAGCAGGCTGGGAGGCTGGTGTCAGGGAACCTTTGCTCGTCCGGCAAAATCCCTTGTTCAGGACCAGTCAGGTTCCAAGAATGCCAGACCAGGGAGGTCCAACCTGTATACTGGTGTAGTTAGAGCAGTGCTGTCCCTAATGTGGATGCAGTTATGTTGGTGTGAATGTGCTTTACTAGTATGGCTTATTCACATATAGAAAGGAGAATAAGCAATCCTTATCTAAGGTCCCTGTATACCAGTATACGTGTGTCAACACTAGCTGCTGTACTGTTATAACTATATTGGTGGTAAAAATGACACTGTCTCCTCCCCTAACTAGCATTGTTATACTAGTGCACATCATGTGTTTACATTTTAAAAGTAAAGTTCTAAATCTCTGAACTTTGATGACCATGACAGCAACAATGTAGTCCACCATTAAAATATCATAGATCATCGAGTTGACATTTTTTCTATACCAGATAATTTCTTCTGTGTATACAATTCAGAAGAATCAATGCATCCAGCATAGTTGTATTGTCTTAATGACAATTCATATGCAATCCATGCTTTAAAGAAACCACCTCTTTGTATCTATTTTTTATTTTTAGTCCCAGAGCAAAAGGGAAAACAGTACAAATTTCTCCAGACTGTTCTAATAACATGCTTTAACTTTGATATAGAAGAATTAGCCATGAATAGTCAACAAGTCATGCCGTTCTCATGTCTTCCTTGTCTCCATCTCTCTGCTGAGACAGCCAATGTAGGAGACTTTTTGTGACTAGGTTTTCTGTGATGTAGACGCATGTCCAATAAGAAATGAACAAGTATCACAAACTCAGTTAACTCATCCCGCTGAATTGCCATCCCGGTACTAACGTAACCAATATTGAAATTACACTTAGGGCTACCCAGCTTGAGTTGTCATAAGTTCCTGAAGAAGCCTTGTTATGGAATTCAGTGTTATTGGGGCCATTTGGAAGCTAGCCGAATTTCTGAAAGGGTCAAAAGCACAGCTTCTCTATTGTTTGAGGGAGGTGACTAAATCCATTATTTGTCATTAGACTCATAAACCTCTTTCATGTATCAGCTACTAGAGGGAGATAATATATGGTCTCATTTTGTGTAATTTAGCACATCTCCACATGTCTTTAATATACATCCTTAAAAAACAAACTTCCTGCTTTGCATGCATGAAGAAATGCATGCTTTTTTGGAATGCTGGCACTAAACACTATAGAGCAGAGTTCTAAATCTTCAATCTCTTCTTTAGAGTCAGCCAAAAGTTATTCATATTTTTCTTCAGAGTTGACCACAAAACCCCAACGTTTGGGGATACAGAAAACTTTACAGAATGTTTTGTCAGTGTGAAATGTTACCTTTTAAGGCCAGTCATTTTATTATTGAAGGTTATGCTGTTTCTTAACTCTTTACATGGCTTTCTGAGATGCCTAGTACATAATAGTGTAGTCAAGCAAACAGTGGACTCAATTTTCTTGTTTTTGTCTTCACACTTTGGCCAGCCATCCTGCTACCTGCCAACCCTCTGTGCAAATTGTGGAGACAAAATGCTTGTGGGTTTACTGCAGCTACTGTCGCAAAATGATGACTTAGGACTGAATTTTCAAAGGTTTGGTGTCTCTACTTGTGAATGTAGATCTGGAGACACCTTAAAGGTCCCTTGTTTTCAGAGGGTGGATGCTAAGCATATCCGAAAATGAGACTCTTTTAAGGTACCTCCAGCTCAGTGCCCCAAATCACTACATGCACAATTGTGGGCTTTATCCTAAATAGAAAATTGTCCTCTCGGTTATAGAATCATAGAACACTACAACTGGAAGGGATCTCGAGAGGTCATCGAGTCCAGTCCCCTGCCCTCATGTTATATAAGCTTCTGTTAGAATTTCCATGGGGGGGGGGAGGGATGGACTTTTCTAGAACTTACAAAATTATTAAAGTAAAAATAGATGGAGCCATACTGGGGGCTTTAACTCCGTATGCATGTAAAGAGAACTTCTCAGGGTGCCCAAATGATTAGACTTCAGATATTAAATTAGGAACTTGTCAAGAAAAATAATTGATCTTGGTTAAAAGATAGTTAGCCAGTTTTCCTATAGATATAACTTTGAGAATTAAAAAGCAGTGTTGAATAGTTAGCATGCAGACAGAAAGAAAGTACAAAAATATACACTACCTCTGGACTGAAAGGATGTATCTTGAATCCTCATAAATTTTCTTACCAGTCCCGTCTGTTTTGTCTTTGGTCCATACTCCTAAATGTTCCCACGTGCACTTCTCCATGGCGACTTTGGGAAACACATCTACAGGTCTTCATTATTCAGTACCTTCCTGTCATTATGGAAACCAACCGTCTACCTATGGGGTGATGGCAGGTAAGCTATATTCACTCTAACAGGATAGTTATTCGCATGATTATTTGGGGGGGATTTTCCTTTAGAGGGGCTGAGGAAGTGGAAGTTAATGAAAGGAAAGATGGCTTCTTGCATTGGGGCTCTCAAGAACTGGGTTCAGTTTCATGATCTCCCACAGCTTCTGTCTGGGATCCAGAGCAAATCACTCTCTCTGCCTTACTTCCCTGGATGTGACACTTCGATAAAGTTTCCTTTCTCTAACTCACTGTCTGCCTAGTAAACTTAGATTGGAAGTTCTTTGGGGGCAGGGATTGTCTTCTGCAATTTAGGTATGTAATAGTGTAGTCGATTAACCGATAAGTAAAAGCTTATTATAGGTTAATGCTATAGACTACTAGCATTTTCACCTGTTCCCCCACCAGTAAATATTTTAGCAGACTGGGCAGCAGCCTGGCTCAGTCCCGGCTTGCGCCGGGTCCGGGACCTATCTCTGCAGCAGCTCTGCATTTAAAGTGTATTAGGAGTCAAGCGGGCAGTCAGCCCAGTTAAGTTCTGACTTGCAATAGGTCTGGGAGCTCAGACCTCCCTCATCCCCCAGACAGGGGCTGCTGCCACCCCGCGCTGCTGCCTCTGTATCGGAGGGAGCAGGGTGGGGGGGACGGGCGGCCACTGGCTGCCCTCGTGGACCAGCTCCCACCTGGCACCCTGTGCTGCTGCCTTTGCTACAAGGGCAGCAGCACAGAGTGGCAGGGGGCTCCTCAGGAGTGGGGCTGGAGCACACTGGCTGACAGACTCACCTCTAGGGACCATAGAATAGTCGAGTAACCAATAAGAATTCATGAGGTTAATCGACTATTCAATTAGCCAATATTTAACATCCCTACTGTGTATAGTGCCCAATGCAAAGGGGAGCTAAATTCAGCACAGGGGGAGCTGCTTCAGAATCATTCACCCATGATGAATGCAATTAAAGAAACAAATATAGTGCCATAAAACTTGAGATAAAAGAGGAAACATTCAGTTAATTATAACTCAGGTTTTGGCTTATGGACATTCTATTTCCCAATCTAGAATCCCGACTCATTTCTCTGAAGCTGATTTGAAGCAGGTGGGGAAGAAAAAATGAAAAGTATTTTCTAGAGAGTATTTTTTCAAGTTGTTTTTCCCTCCACTCTCTCATGATATTAAGGAAAGAGTCTGAGATCACACCCTAACACTGATAGCTGTGGGCCATCAGGGTTGTCCCTTATGCTCATAATTTTTTAAAAATCACATCATTGGGTGATAGTGGGGCTACTGTATATGTGGCATCATTATGCCTTTGTTATCAAAGAGGAGTGTCCGGTTCCTGATTTAATAAATATGAGAAGCATTAGACTTGCAGAGTCTGATGCAAGCTTTAAGATCAATGAAGGGATGGCTAGCTTTGAAAAAAGAGCTTATGTTCAGTAACAGCAACTTGTTTTCGATGAGAGTAAACACGTCAGAAATGTTACAGATGTTAGTCTGTAATGGAATAAACTTAAACAACAAATAGTCTTGCAGCACCTTAGAGACTAAAAAAATATAGATGGTATCATGAGCTTTTGTGGGCACAACCCACTTCTTCAGATGAATGGAGTTAAGAGTTCCAGGGGACAAATAAATAGCAGAGAAGAGAGGGGACGGGGAAGGAAAGAGAAGGAAAAAAAACATATTGTCAGAGTGTTCGTGGTAAATGAGGCTAATAGAGTGGGTTCTAAGTACTCTAAGGGTGTGTCTAGACTACAGGGTTTTTTCGAAAAATCTTCCCCTGCAACTAGACTGCTGCCGCGTTCTTTCAAAATCGAGAGAATGTGGCAGTTTTTTCGACCACGGAAAACCTCGTTTTACGAGGAAGAACACCTTTTTTCAAAAGTGCTCTTTCGAAAAAAGGAGTTATGTAATGCAAACTGTGCTTTTTCGAAAGACAGAATCCAGACTGCCTGGGTACTCTCTTTCGAAAAAGCAGCTTGCTTTTTTGAAAGTACTGGTTGTAGTCTAGAAGCTTTTTTTGAAAGTACCTTTTGAAAAAGCCTAATTCGAAAGAGGTTTGCAGTCTAGATGTAGCCGAAGTTTCTTTTCACAGAAATACTACAGCTGACGTGCAGGGATGTCAGTCCTTCAGAGTGAAAAGAAATGTACGTGAAGGGCAGAGAGAAATCATTTAATTCAATGCACACTTTTCCAGATCTCATTCACCAATATGGAGTGTTTTCACACAGAGGCTCAATAGACATTATGGTATAACTTGTAAAAGATTTTTAGCTCCCAATGTAGCAATCCTCTAGATACCACTGGAAGAGGGAAGAGAATTTGTTCAACAGAAAGGTGTTAAAGTCTAATATCAACCAGCAAAATAATACAGTGATGCCAGGATAAGAGTCTTCCCTGGAAATAATTATGGCTCAAAACAAATCCAAAATCAAATACAGGAAACCCCTGTGTTACAACGGCCCGAGTTGTGGCCCCCCCGTACTTATGACCATTTTTGTAAGTGCAGAAGGGGCTGAAAACCCCCGACTTATGTCGTCATCCTGTATTTACAATGGCGTACAGCGCCTATCATAAATGCGGATTCGAGTTACGACACCCTGGACTTGCGATGCTTCTCCAGGAACTGATCACATTGCAAGTCAGAGGCCGCCTGTATACCATTTTACTTCATTAAGAAGGAGGGAAACGTAAAAATAAATCAGCATAGGTAAAACTTTCCTCATGATGGATTTTCTGGAACAGCACATCAGACTCTTTCTTCACATGGAACAAATGCTCCTGGTTTTCTTTCTTTTCTTGTGTCCTTGGTACAGAAATTCTTGTTCAGATCTCTATAGGAAGTCTACAATAGAAGAATCATTAGACAAGGAGGAATGGATATTTCCATTCAGAAATATCAACCTATTTCTATATCAAAAGTATTCCATGTGCTGCAAGCTTTTCTTTTTTTCCCCACTTTCTTTTAGGCATCAAGCCTGCAACTCCAGAAATGCTATCAGCAAGTCTCTCTCAGAGTCGCATTTTACAGACCTGCAGCATGTCCCATCCCAATGTGGTGAATGGTGTTAGCACTCTGCAAGGCAAGTCTTTCTCTTTTTTAGTCTCTTTTCCCTTCTGACAGTTAACAGCTCCCTCCCCTTTTTTAGTCATACTGCATGTAACAATATACCAATAGGGTTAGAACCTTCATAATGCTCCCAACAACCAGGAACAAGACCAGAAGAACAAACAAGTTCAAAGAGAAAGGAAGGATGGTCTTGTGGTTTAGAGGCCAGGCCTCCAAAAATGTAGGTTCAATTCCAGACTTGATTAGAGAATGTGATTGGGCACACAAATTACTCTCTTGATTCCCCCATCTCTAAAATAGAATAAATATTATTCTTTTCTCCTGTGGTTCATCTGACTTGTCACTTCAGAGAGAAAAGGTGGGTGAGGTAATATCTTGTATCGGCTCAATTTTTGTTGCCCAATAAAAGATATGACCTTATGCACCTGGTCTCTCTAATATTCTGGGATCAACATGGCTACAACAACAAACCAAACAACAGTGGAAGATGTCACATTTTGCCTTTTCAGGACAGGGACTCTCTCTGTTTGTTCTGTACCTACCGGAGTCGGTACCTCATCTTGGTTAAATGGCATGGTGTAGTCCAATAGAGAACCACATGTTGCATGAAGTAGTTCATCCCTGTGCAATTACTTTCAACTCTAAAATTATAATGTACAGATAATATCACTCATTGGGCTTTACCCTGCATCTTTACTCTAGGAAATTTCTCATTGAAATAGGTTGCATAGAGCACTGCATCTTCCTATCACATCTAGTTTATAATGTAATATTGTTAGTACCAGAAAACAAATACTGACATAGGTCCATTGACTTCAATGAAGCAATGAACTAGTTGATACTTTGGTACAATATAAGGCCATGTCTTCACTCTGGGGAAGATTGAGACTGCCACGATTGATCTTTTGGAGTTCGATTTAGCAGATCTCGTAAAGACCCACTAAATTGAACTCAGAAGATACCTCTGTTGGCAGTCAGTACTCCTTCTCTTGCGAGGAGTAAGGGAAGCCAACAGGAGCATTTCTCCCATTGGACTCCTGCTGTGGGGAGCAGCAGGGAAATTGAACCAAGGTACATCAATTCCAGCTATGTAATTAGCATAGCTGGAGTAGCGTATCTTGATTCAACCTTCACCTTTAGTGTAGACCTGGCTTAAGTCTATCTAAGGTATGTATATGGCCCTCAGCACGTTCACTCCCATATTATAGATTAGGAACTGAGGCAGAGAATGACAATGCAAGGAATTGGACTCTGGTCTCCTAAAGTCCATGCTGATGCCCAAACCACTGAACTATCCTTCCTGGATATAGTACATAATATTTCATTGCTTAACAGTTGATAGATGGCCCAAAGGTTTACTGTGCAATGCTGGAGAATTATTGTATCAAGTTCTTTTATTTGGCTTCATGCAGGTGGCCTGACCCCTTGCCTTTATAAATTCCCTGAACATGCTTTGAGTGCCAGTTCCTGTGCTCTGGGGCATGGCTTCACACCTATGCACCAGTCCATCCTTGGAGATGATCCTGTAACCGCTGACTTCAAGCAGGAATTCCGCAGAAAAACCAAGTCTGTTGAAGAGCCCATAGACATGGATTCCCCTGAAATCAGGGAACTTGAAAAGTTTGCCAATGAGTTCAAACTAAGGAGAATTAAGCTAGGTATGTATTTTGTACTAGCCAACTATAGCCTGAAAATCCAAATGAAGGCTCAATTATTTCTGTATATTTTATATTCTTTATATGCTTTATAATTCAAAACCTTCCTCACATTTACCTAGAAGACTTGTTTGGAATTAATGACCTCAGACATTTTATAACTTAGAACAGTAAATGATTTTAAAACTTTCTACCACTTCTGTCTTCCTCAGAGGGCAAATTATTGTTGATTATCTGTATTCCAGGGCAAAGAGTGATCAGTCACATAAATCATACTGTGAAGTTGCATTTAATTCAGCCTTTCAGGATTGTGATGAAAATTTTGCCATATAAGTCTCAAAATCTAAATTTTACTATGATAGTGAAACAGCTAAGGATACTTTGCCTGTCAATAATTATTCACCATGGCAGTTGTACAAGTTGGAAGGCTGATGTAATGTATAATTTACATTAAAAATGACACATTTTGAAGTGATTTCAGTGGAGCTGGACAGGAAATTATTTTTCCCCATGACAGAAATGGATGAAAATTAAATATTCATTTTCATCAAGTTTTTGGTTATTTTCAGGGCTGTTCACCACTCTGGCACTCCGAGTGCAGAAGGTGGGGTCCACAAGGGACCTTAAAAATACTTTGTGTCTCTAGGCTCCGCTTACAAAAACTTCCCAGAGTCACAGATTCTCTGCCACCATCAAGTGAATTAAATCCTGGAAACCAGGAAGAAACACTTGAATTTCTTCCCCAGGGGTACTCCAAGCTCTTTTGCCACAACAGAGCTTGAAAAAAGACACAAAAGAACACAGGAAACAAATTGTGTCTCTGATAGCTGACCTCTCAGGCTAGGCAGGCACACACACAGTTCTCTTGTTACCTTCCACAACACAAGAATCAAATCATGATCTTAAAAAAGGTAATTTTATTAACAAAACAAAAAGGTATGCTTGATAAAGCATACTTGATTGCTAATGTTACAGAGCAACTAAGAAAAGAACAGATAAAAACACAAAGAAACACAGTCTCTTGGGCTGCAGCGAAGGGGGGAGGAAAGGCACATGGAATTCACATGAAGACGTTTAACCAAGCTTAAAACAAAGAAAATTACCCGATCACAACTAAACATACATTCTCCTCTTTACTCATGATCCGTACTGATCTGTACTTCAAGGACCAGTCCAATCCCATGTCCAATATGTCTTGTAGGCATGGTATTTCTGTTGATTACTTCATCTTGCTCTCTCTAGCCCTTAGAACTCACACACACAGAGAAACAGCAAGGTATATGTTTACAATTTAAATTTCAGCACAGTATCCCATCATTCTTCTGGCTTCTTGCCAACACCCTTACCTACTTGAGTTTACCCCTTGAGTCACTGAGTGCTGGCCAGCACGCCTCCTATCCATCACAGTTGTCAAAGCCAGAAAAAATTCATTTTAAAATTATACAGCCCATTTTTAAAGAAAGAAAATAGCTGTTTTAGAAACAAATTTCCATTTAGTCATAAAGCCATTTTAATTTTAGATGGACAATTTTCAATTAGCTCTGGTCTTCAAACCTTCCTTTTAATATTGTATCCCCCATTTTTTACCCTATAAATTTCTAATGTATGCAGATAGGATGGCTCCCTCTCCTTACTATGCCTGCTTAATCAAATTCTAGGAGAATGATCTCCACAGCTTTGATCTCTTGGTATGTGGAGACAAGGCCTAACTTCCTGTGGGGAGTCCTGTGTTATTACACTGACAGAAAAAACTCCTTCTATCTGTCTGCAATGCCTCTACACTATGATGTTATACCAGCATAGGCTCTGTAGTATAGTGTCAGCCGACGGTCAGGGCAGTGTGTGTGGGTATGTCTCCTAAGTCTTTAACTGCTAAGACACGAAGTCTCGTCGTAGCGGGCAGCCCAGAAGGCTGAAAGGAGCCCCGAGTGTTTAACGTCCGTGACTTTACTGCTAGGACCAAGGTCCCGTCGCAGAGGGTAGCCAAACAGGCTAACAGACGCCCCAGTGTGTAGGAAGAGCTTATTACACCTTAGATTTTAACTGCTAGAACACAAAGTTCCTTCGCAGCGGGCAGCCTAGGAAAGGCTGGAAAGGTGCCCCAACGGATCTTGTCACCTGGGAGTGACACAGATCCAAACGCCCAAGCTCTCCCTATGTCTGTCCCTTTATGACTGGCTGAAGTTCTTTTAAATTGTGCTTGGTTCTATTACAGCAACTGAAGGAGTCAGGTTAAAACTTAAACAGTTACAGGTTTATTAAAGGAACTTATAAATCATATGGTTACAATGGCTATTGCTCTATTTCTTAAATGCTAACAAATATAGATCTTAAAATGGTTACAGGAAAAAGGTAAAGATAGAAAATAGAAAATAATGGTACCAAGTGACAGCTTAATCTTTAAAGAGCTCTAATACTAAGTATATATACTTAAACAAAGGACCACATCCAGGTACAATTTTTACCCCCTTCTGTGCCTCTCGACTCCAGCGTGTCAGGCCAGGGCCGGTCTCTCAATTCCTCGGAAAGACGAATACGAGGTGGGCATCCCCTCTGGAACCTCGGGAGGTCAAACACCAAACCCGACCAGCAGATAGATGGTAGATTGACACACAAAGCAAATGTGCTGCTGGACTCATCTTTATACCCCTGGGGGCCCGTATTCTCTTTCTTATCTTCAGAGGCCAAATTTTACTGGTCCATTTTGTGGTGCCAGTTCTTACAAGCAGGTTACAAGTTAATTTACACTTGTAAGAGAGGAAGATAACTAAATTAGGACTGCCGGATGTTCTTGTTGGGCGGGAGATTCCTTCCCCCATGGACGGGTATGTGTTCGTATCAATATGGGTTTCAGTCAAGGGCACGATGTACAGCCTCTTGGTCAACAATTAGTTTGACCACCCTCCTATCTCTGCTTACAGTTGGTCACGGTCACTGAGCCAGCATATCTAAACCTCCTGCTCCAAGGTTTTCAAAGAATATGCTGTTTTCCAGCTCTTATGTGCCCTGCATGGTTTTAAGCAGACAAAGATGGATGTTAAAATGGGGCTTTATGTCTGGCTACATATAGACATAGCCTTGACTACAAGAGTTTCTAAATAGATCTGGTTTAATCAGTACCACTTTTTCATATACAAAGGCCTTAGTTAAATCGGTGTAACTGTGGATAGATGAGGCCTTTGAAAAAAACATGGGAGAACACAGCTGAAAACTGAGGGAGAGGCCTCTTTCTATTTCTTGGGAGAACTGAGGTCTCCCTTCTGTCTTTTCATGGGCTGGTGAAATTATTATACCTCACCCAGAATAATTGGATTTCAAAATCTGAGAGGAAATGGTGGCTCTCTCTCAGTAGGTGGAGTATTGCCGGCACTTGACAGACTAATTGTTCAGTCTGAGACACGCCTATCAGCATCTGCCTGATTCCTCATATCTGACCTTCTCTTAATTCCTTCTCCTCCTATAGAAGGCAGAGAAGAAAAGGGAAGAACCTCCTGCTTTTCCAGGGAAACAGGGATGGCCTGCCAGCTGCTTCCCCTTCCTTAGCCGAAACCAAGAAGGCACAGAACGGTCCTACCAGTTCCTTCTTTCTTCTCTTCCTGGAACTCTATACTGGATATGAGGGGGAATTTTAGTGCCCTATTTTACACATACACATGCACTTGTATTTGGTTCTTTGGGAACTTTGACTTCTCTCAAATACATCTGTTACCTTGTTACCATTTTCTTCCCCATGCCACAACCCATCACACAAAATAATGCAACTTCACTAAATTATCTCAGTGTACAATGTGCAACCAACAAAAATGAGCAACTTTCTCCTCCAATTTTAGATTTACTTTAGGCCATCCATGCTGTATTATTCCTATCATCCTTAGAGATTTCTCTCCATGACAGAGTTGTGGCATGGTAATGGGAAAGTAGGAGGAAGTTTGATCCTGTCTGTACTGCACTGAAAAAAATAAATGTGTGTGTCAAACACTGCAAATACAGTCTCTTCACGGGTACTAAATTCACTGTCAATTATGAATTGCCATTTTTACATTCTCCCTTATAACAATATATTGCATCATTACAGAATATGGCATGACTCTATAAAAGCATGTAATTTATATATGACTGTAACAGTCATCTGTATTATCACTACAGCTACAGGGACATTTACATTTACATTTACATCTATTTAAAGAAATGAGGGCCAGAACAAGTCATGCTGTCTGAAATAGTGTATACAGCCTGTGAGGTTTTGTTGTATGGCATGACTATTTAACAGTCAGTCATACAAAGGGCAAAATTGCCTATGCACTAGAGTACTTCAGTGGCTAGATCCTGAATTTCTGCACAGTCAAAACTCATGTTGACTTACACAGATGTGACAGAATAGAGACTGCGGGATTGGGTTGAATGCCATTAATAAAGATGGGATGTATGAAAAGCCTAACCTGAAGTGGACAGTGCCCTGCTAGTGCAAAATGTTCAAGTTAATACAGACATAGGGTTTGACATGGTGAGGTCCTTAGCACCCTCCACACCTACTAGCATAAATAGGAAGAGAAAACACTCAGGACCTTGAGGATTATACCCAGTAAGGGGGTGTCTGCAGCAGGGGTTAGGCTGAACTAACTACAGGCAGTCCCCGAGTTACGTGGATCCGACTTACGTCGGATCCGCAGATACGAACGGGGCTTTTCTCGCACCGGAGGACGGGAGCGGCGGGATGCCCAGATGCGCCGCGGTCCGCCGCCCCCGTGCTCTGGGGCGAGAAAAACTGCTCCCCGTCTCCCTGGTCTGCAGGGAGATGGGGAGCAAAGCCTCGGAGCACGCCCGCAGCGGGACAGCCCGGGTGCGCTTGAGCTGTCCCCCTGCGGGCGTGCTCCACGGCTTTGCTCCCCGTCTCCCTGGTCTGCAGAGAGATGGGGAGCAAAGCCTTGGAGCACGCCCGCAGCGGGACAGCCCGGGCGCGCTTGAGCTGTCCCCCTGCGGGCGTGCTCCG